TGGGGTTGTGGGGAAGGGCAGGCAGCTGAGGAGGATGTGGGTCCAAGGTAAGAAATTTATGATGGAAGGGAACCAGCAGTTAGTGTAATGGCTATGTCGCTGGACTTCCACGTAGTCGACCGTGGTTCGCATCCTGGACCCGGTGGCTTAAAACTCACGCCGGGCGTGTGTGCGTGCATGCCCAAGATCCCAAGAGGAGAATGGAGAGAAGGGATTGCGGCGTGACCGTCCCCCCGGGGGGTGATTTCTCACTTTCTGTCTCTCTGTCTCTCTCTGTCTGTCTGGCAAGCGCACACGCCCTATAGCAAAAAAAAGAAGAAAAAAAAAGAAAAGAAATTTATGATGGAAGAAATATTTACACGTACAGGTGTGCAAGCTATATGGGTAACAGTTTGCCATGAGTCCTCGTTTCCAGGTGATGGAGCCAATGCTCAGAAGCCAGAACCAGCACAGAGCAAGGCTGTGATCCCAGCCTGTCTGGCCCGCTCCAAATCTACACTCTTAACAGGTCAAATTGCTAGAAACAAATTGAGGTTGTACAGCCTTTCCCCAGTGTGTGCCGTAATATACCATGAGCACTTTTCCACACGAACAACACAAAAAGACATAATTAAACAAAGAAATATGCAAATCCATGATCATACTGGACATTTCAAACTTACTTCTTAACTGATAAAACGGACCCAAAAAAATCAGTAAGGCTATGGAACATGTCCACAACATGCGCGCAGACTTGACCTGACTGGCACACGTGGAGTATGCCTGCAGAGCGGCGTAAACGCCTCCCAAGTGCATGCACCGTAAACCAGGCTGTGAAGCAAGTCTCAGAAGATGTCGAAGGACCAAAATCATACAGAATATATTCTCTGATCACAGGGAAACTAGCTAAGAATTTTAAAAAAAGAAAAATAATAGCTAACAAATAATAAAACATTTGAAAATTAAGCAAAGCACTTTATTTTTTAACTGCCAGAGGGTACTTGTGTTCACCAGAGAGAGATAGAAAGATAGAGAGGAGAAAGCATGCCCCACTGGGGCACGGTCGCATAGCAATCCTCTCTCCTCCACCTCTCCACCCTGTCAGGCCTGTAGGCATGTGTACACACGCACACACACGCACACACACACACACACACACACACACACACACGGCATGTTTTTCAAACTGCTAAGGCTGGGATTTGAACCATGGTCAACCATAGCTTCCTTGATCAGAAGGCTACTGGGATTGTCTGCAAAAACCTTTTTGTGTTTTTCAATAAACCACTAGGCAAGGAAGAATTTGCGATGGAAAATTTAAACTGAAAGCCAAATGAAAATATGACATATCAAAACTTGTCAGATATAACTAACACCATACTCAAAGGAAATTAATTGCATAGCCCTAAATGCATAAATTAGAAAAAAAAAGAAAGATAAAAATTAAATATCCATCCAAAGAAAGTAGACAGAAGAAAACATAAAGAAAACTTCTGTGGGACCAGCAGATGGCATAATGGTTACATTACTGGATGCCCACGTAGTCAACCATGGTTTGAGTCCCAGACCCAGTGGTTTAAAACTCACACTGGGCGTGTGTGTATGTGTGCTCAAAATTTTGAGAGGAGAATGAAGGAGAAGGAATTACAGCATGGCCAGCCCTTCTGGGGGGTGATTTCTTGCTTTCTGTCTATCTCTCTGTCTCTCTCTCTTTCTGGAGAGTACATACGCCCTATAGCAAAAATCTCTCTCTTAAAAAATAAAAGAAAACTTCTGCAAAGGTTAGGGACAAAACAAGGAAGCCTGCTGTCACCACTCTTAACCATCATAGCAGAGGTTGTAGGCAGTGCAATAAAGAAAATAAGAAATAGAAAGTACGAGAACTGGAAAGGAGGAAGTGAAGTTTCTGTTTTTCACAGATGACATGACTGAGCTTATAGAAAACCCAAAGGAATATGCAGAGAAACTATCAGCATTAGTAAGTGAATTCAGCAAGGTCATGCTATATAAAGTCAATACACACAGAAGAACTGTATTTCTACATGCTCCAATCCATAATTCGAAAACAGAGAGCAAACCTGTCCCCTGGAGCCTTATCAAGAGTATTCAAGGGAACCAGCAGTTAGCGTAATGGCTATGTCGCTGGACTCCCACGTGGTTGACCGCGGTTCACGTCCTGGACCCGGTGGCTTAAAACTCATGCCGGGCGTGTGTGCGTGCATGCCCAAGATCCCGAGAGGAGAATGGAGGAGAAGGGACTGCAGCATGACCATCCCCCCTGGGGGGTCATTTCTCACTTTCTGTCTCTCTGTCTCTTTCTGTCTGTCTGGCGAGCGCACGTGCCCTATAGCGAAAACCTCTCCAAAAAAAAGAAAAGAAAAAAGAACTAATGGTATACAGTCCTACCAAGTGCCTGGCACATAGTAGGTGCACAACAAACGGGTCCTGACAGCCTCACTATTGTTAAAATTACTCTCTTCAGGGTCAGTAGGCTGCATGGAGGTTAAGGCACTGGATCCCGCACGGCCCACTGCAGTTGGAGTCCCAGACCTGGCGGCCTAAAAATTATGCCGAGTATGTATGTGTGTGTGTGTGTGTGTGTGTGTGTGTGTGTGTGTGTGTGTGTGCCCAGTATTCTGAGAGGAGACTGGAGGAGGAGGATTGTGGTGTGGCCAATGCCCTGGGGGGTGATTTTTCTCTTTCTCTCTCTCTGGCAAGCACACTGCCCTATAGAGAAAAATAAATAGATAAAACAACTGAAAAAAGAAAAAAAAAAAAAAAGAAAAATTCTTCTTCTCTGCCCAGCTGAATGGCTCCTGATATCATTACTATGCTTAAATCATTCTTCTCTGCCCAGGTCTAACCCCAGGGGGCGGAGCCTGTCCCGAGGGCATAGCCAGGTCCCTTGGCTCCCGTCACATCCCCTGTCTCCTCCTACAATCTCCCCAAGCTTCCCTGCAGCCCTGGCAGCAGTCAGGCCTTCTAAGTGCGCTCCAGAACAGTTGGCCTGAGCCCCAGAGGGTGCTAACAGGACAGAGAGATGCTCCACCAGAAAGTGAGTCTTCCATGAAGAGGATCTCAGAGAAGGCTGTGGGTTCACGTGGGAGGATGTTCTGAGATAGGGTAATGTGGAAAGCAGCTGGACTACTCCAATTTTAAAAATTACGTGAATGTGTGTGTGTATGGGTCTCTTAGTACAGATTAATAGAGAACAGGGTGGGAGTAGAGAAGTCAATGTTACTGGACTTGCCTGGAAGTGATGGGATTAGGATGCCAGTCGTTGTCTGTCCATCCATCCACCCAAAATCCTGTGTGTGCGTGCACGTGTGTGTGTGTGAATGTGCATGTGTGTGAGAGTGCATGTGTATATATGTGTGTAGTATATGTGCATGTGTGTGCATGTGTGTGCACATGTATGTATGTGTATTATATATGTGGGTGTGTGTGCATGTATGTGTATTATATGTGTGCATGCGTGTATATGTGTCTTGTGTGTCTCTGTGTATTTGTGTATATGAGTTGTGTGTGCATGTGTATACATGTGTGTTGTGTATGTGTTATGTATGCACATATACATATGTTCATGTGTGTATGTATGCACATATGTGGCGAGTATGTGTGTCGTGCATGCACGTGTGTGGCATGTGTTATGTGTGTACATGTGTGTATGTATGCACATATGTGGTGAGTATGTGTGTCGTGTATGCACATGTGTGGCATGTGTTATGTGTGTACATGTGTGTATGTGTGTGTGTGTGTGTGTGTGTGTGTGTGTAGACAGTTGGAGGAATATTTTTATCTAGCAGCCAATGCCAATTTTCTCTAGCAGATGCAGGTAGAGAAGAGGCTGTGGAGACATTGGGAGCCATGTGTGAGGCAGCAGCTGGTAGGAATGCCCTGGGGTGGAGACTGAGGCCCTCTGAGAAGGCCCCTGTTCCACTTGAGCTACTAGTGCTGCCCCACAGGGACATTCCTTTGGCCTCGCTGCCACCTGCCCCGTCCTCAGCAAATGCGGCCATGTTCTGACCGCCCTTTGTGTGGAGTTTGTGGCAATGGAAGGAAGAACCACATTTTGTGCGTGAGGCCAGGTGGCGGGAACAGGAACAGTGGCAGTGTCACTTCTGTGTACAGACAGCGTCCTAGTGCATGGGGCAGACAGAGTACCTGTCCCCAGGAGCCTGCAGGACCCTAGTCTTTGCATCTCCCGGGGTGTGCCAAGCTTTGGCAAAACCGCTAGTTCGCCTTCTGGCAGGGAGCGCCAGCATCCACCTTGCCACCTACCTGGACCCCAGGTGCTTTACAGCTGTGCGCAGGCTGGCCGAGATGTGTGCAAGGGACCTGGCCCGGCGGCTGCAGGCCTCAAAAGACTGAGACCCCAGCTGACTCCGAATGGTGTTTATTCCCCATTCTCTCCCCCACGAACAGATGTTATTTGTGGAACTAAAAGAAACGTAACTGGAAAAGAGCACTCCAGGCCTGGCCCACGCTGCTGCAGATAGCTGCACTGGCTGGTGGCCGGCCAGGGTGGCTGAGCCCAGGACCCCAAGTTGCAACTCTCCCACGTACTTAGAAAGACTCGTGGACAATGCTTATGACACACGGAGTGCGGGACAGACCTGGTTCCAACCCACGTCTGCACCATGGTCGTGAAGAAAGGAAATAAAGACTGTGGTGGGGACAGGGAACGTGAATAACTGGAAACTCACACGGAGGGCGTGCGATGGCGCTTGACCTTTGTGCAATAAAAACAGGAAGAAGCTGGTGAAGGTGCTTTCTTCACTCCTCATGGGCTTCTGCCCTTGCCATCCCGCTCTGAGCTCTGAGAGTAAACACCTGTGCCAAAGGGGGAGTGGGACGGCCACTCCCCTTTGGCCCACCAGAGCTCACGCAGAAAACCTCTCCACCTTCCTAGAAATTCCACGAGATAGGAATTATTGTCCTCATTTTACAGATGGGAACTTGAGGCTCAGGGAGGTCTCAGGGACTCAGGACTGACCCAGGGAGTCAGGCCTGGGACTCACCGTGTAGATGGATTCCGCGGGGGGCTGGTGGGCGCTGCCGGCCGATTTCGGGTCAGGGCAGTTCTCAGTGGGGCACTTCCCCAGGGCCCGTATCTGTTTCTGTGGGGAGAAAGGAGTCAGGGCCATGGGGGCTGGGACGAGCCACCACCCTGGTTCTCCCACCCCCACAATAGGCCCCACTAGCAAAGGGCACTGATTGTCACGGGACATAAGTGAGTCACACGGCACCTTCTACCCACCCTCTCCAGGGAAACAAGGAAAATGCTTTCGAGACCTCCATCAAACCACTCCCGGAGACACGGGAACTGAGAAAGGGCCCAGGAGGCGTTGTCCACCGCAGCGGGACCAGCTCAGGGGGCAGGAGCTGCAGAGCCTGTGTCAGCATGGCCGGGCCCCAGCGACAGCGCCAACTGCATGGGCAGTGCCGTGAGTGAATGCCAGCCAGTCCCAGTGTCCCTCACTGGCTCTGCCTCAGTTTCCCCCGCAAGAGCCCTTCTCTGTGAGACTGTGGCAAGAGTCCAGGCAGGAGTGAGGGTAGATACCTCGCCTTGGGCGGCACTGAGGAGGCCTGGCCAGCCTGCACACGGCTGGTCTCCAAGCAACGGGAAGAGGTGGACGCCAGCCCTGCCCTGGAAGGTGAACTAGCAGTTTTACGAGTGTGGTCTGTGTGCTGAGTGACAGGCACATGGCCTCTGGCACACAGGGAGGAAACTGCCTCAGAGGCCAGGAAGGGAGGCTGAAAACGAAGCCGAACGCTGAGAAGTTCATTCTGTAGACAGCGGAGCCGAGAGGTCCCGGCAGAGGGACCAGCACACACCACGGCCCAGAGGTCGTGAGCAGCTCCAAGGTCAACGTGGCCCGAGAGAGGTGGCCTGCCCAGGCGGGTGGGCGCAGCCATGTGGGGCTGCATGGGGAGTAGGGTGGGGCGTCTAGGGCCGAAGCAGGCTCAGAGCACGGTCCCAGAAAGTGCTCGCTGGCACCGATGTGTCACCGAGGCTGGGGCAGGCCTGCTGGGACCCAGAGAAGGGTTGAGGCGACAGTCGGCTCCTTCCGAGGCAGAGGGAGGCGGTCCGGACATTCCCCCTCATCGCAGGCACCACACTGCCAACAGCAGCCTCATCTCAGGGCAGGAGCTAATTAAAAACCCTGGCGGCCTGCCAATCCCCAGCCCATTTACTCCGGATTAGCTCTGGAGAGCTACTTAACTCCCAGGCAGAAGCCAGCGCCGCCCCAGTCACAGCACGGGAATGGCTCGAACGTGGAGCCAGGTGGGCCTCGAAACTTGCTACCTGCCCCATCTCACGCACACCCTGACACACCCACGGGCAAGGCTTCATGCTATCTGTTCTGCCCACGAAGCAGTGAAGGCTCAGAGAGGGCAGGTGACTTTCTGAGGCCACACAGCCAGGAAGTGGCAGAGGTGGGATTTGAACCAAGGTCTACATTTTGCCAGGTCGCTGACCAGACAGTGACTGGAGTTATTGCTCCTCTGTTTTGTTGGCAAGTGTAGGTCTCACAGATTTAGCTGGGGTGCTGTTTAGTACTGAACAGTTCACGGAGACCCCTAGGACTGGTCCTTGTGTTCGTTTAATTCTCCTAATAGCCTGAGGAGGTGAGCAAGGAATTGCCCATTTAAAGCGGGGGAGACTGAGGCTCTTCCAACTAGGGAATGACTGCCCTTGGAGCAAACTGAGAGGCTGCACCCTTAAGCAGGGCCCTTAAGCAGGGCTGCCTGCTTAAAAGCCCTCCAGGGCACCTTAAAGAGCCTTCTCTGTGGAGACACCCATCTCCACAGAGATGGCGGCACCCATCGGGGATGTGGACCTGCCTCTCAGCAGGGCCTGCCAGGACGCCTTGTGGCAGGCGCCTGTGGCCCCCCGGGGGGGGAAGGGGCGC